ATAAACCTTTTATTTTCACACAGCCTAGGAGACCTACAATACAGCCCATTTGTTCATTCAGCTCTGTGTTGCTATTACAACAAAGATCACCACAATCTGGAGACCTGGAGTGAAGGCCACTGAAAGGTCCAGTTTCTTTATAAGCATATTTTCAAATTTTACTTTGAACTTTGCAGCTGTGAGATGGTTTAGACACGACACTTCAGCTCCCTGTGCCAATCCCAAGTGCAGGCCACACTTACCAAGCTCAGGAAACCCTGCTTATTTTACAAGTGCACTCACTGAAGTGATAAACTTCAGAGTAGCCCAAATTCCATCACTCACTCCTCAATCAAAACAGGCTTGCTCAGCTGTAGCACTTGCACTCCAGTCCTTAGATGCCACTATACTTACAAAAACAAGCTTTTCAAAGTTTCCCTTTACATCAGCTGATGAGTGCCTGGCAAACACAGCTGCCAACACAGCAGTGCCCCAGACAGGAGCAGCAGCAAGGTCTAGGACACGCCAGTCTGCCAGAGGAACCTGTGAAGTACAGCAAGCTGCTTGTCCAATTCCCTTCTGGCTGGCAGAGAGCAGAACAGGTGTTCCTCTAATTTTTCCCAAACCCTTCTCCTCCATCTCCAGCCTGTTGTTTAACAGGCTCCCCCTTCTTTATTAGTTTTTGCCAACCACACCACAATGCTGACAAACCTTGACAAGCTCACAGCTGCCCCCAGGTCAGAACAGCAAATCCCATCCTCTTCCTCAGCAGAGGACACGAGCAGCATCACTCCCCACTCCGTCATCACCAGGGCTGCATTTTCAGCCATGCTGGCTGGAAACTTTAGGCTCAATAGCACTAAAACCAAAGTTTATCACCCCAAACTTTCCAAGAGCAGCACCCTCCCAAGGCATTTTTCAATCCCAAGTTTGCAGCTGGTTTCTCACTGCCAAGGAAGCAGCAGGAGGGTGTACCCCACATCACTCCAGCCGGCCGGCAGCAGAGGGCACCACACAATCACCGATGTGATTTATACACTTCCATCATGCTCCCAAGTTAATTTATAGAGCACAAATTACTGCTACAACAAGCTACAGGGCGACTCCATAAAGCATTCATCATATCAGATAAAAACGCACTGCCACGAAAGGCAGCTAATTTGCTACAGTGCTTTCAGCCAGCAATTCAAGGAAAAACCTTCCAGCTTAGTATCTCTCTGAGCTCAAAAGCCACATTCCCAGAACAGCAGGTTTCACACAGTGCAGATCTCCAGCCTAACCACAGAAGAGCAGAGCAGCAGCTCTGCAGAGCACTGAAAGCCACATAAACACTTGCATTAGCCCAAACATAAGCCACCAGCCCACAGCCTAACTCATCCAGGGCTTAAACACTGCAAAGCTACATCCACATCAATTAAACATTTGGGCTGAGGATGCTCAGCAGCCTCTGAGGCAGACAGCAGAGATCCAAGAGACAAAAGGAATAGCTGCATTCCTTCTGCTTCTTCCTACCCCCACACCCACAGATCGTATGTTTTTACTTATTGAATAGTTGTTAAAAAAAGAAAAAGATGAATCTACAGAAAAGTCAATCTGCATTCCGTGAGCACACTGAGACACACGTAGTGATGAGCAAACAGCACAGTCACGAAGTCAAGGCAGCTTCTAAGCTGTCAGCAGAAACACTTCAGTACCACGATGCCACCAGCCCCATTTAATGCCAGACCTGTTACACAGCCCAGGAAAAAAGGACTTCCCAGATCATCTCCTCTGCTGAGCGCTGCACAGAGTGACAGAGGCCACTTCTGAGCACACAGCAGTTAAGCGAGGACTAACTCAGAGCTTCAGCTTTTCTAAGGAGATCTGCAGCACGACCTTGAGGCCAAGACCTTGATGACTTCTCTCCATCTCCCCTCTGTGGAGGGAGAAACACCCACAGAGCTGCAAAAGAACAAACCCAAAGGCAGAGGAAAGAGCAGATACCTCACCCTCCTTATTAAAGCAAGACACTATTTTCAGCCACCATAATGTTTCCCCTGAACATGTAAATACAGAAGCAATTAGCTGCCTAGGCACTTCCGCAGAAACCATTTAGAATAATCTTCCCTAGAATATATTTACATCATTTCTGATTGCTTAATTTTCTGATACATTTGTTTTGGGCACTAGAAAGATTAAATAAAGCCAAATCACCTACAGTGATGCATATTGCCATGTTACTGAAGGTAACATGCAGCACAGACAGACAACAAAAACTCCTGGGTGGTTTCTAACTTCAAAATTGTAGCAATACAACAAGGTTCTAGGAATTGCTTTATAGCTTTAATTCAGCTGTTTCTTAAAACCTTTTTCCCTCTTCTGCTTTTACTCTGAGGGATAAAACTACTGACTGAAACAGCAGACACCATTTAAAGAGAAAGAATGAGCCTGGACAGAGATTTCATTGAAAAGCTCAATTCTGAAGTACATAGGAAATGTCCTCAATTCAAAGATTAGCCTGCACAAAAAGGCAAATTAAACCCAGAAACAGAAGAAAATCTTTTCTGACTGCTCTGAATATATTTTTTCATTATATTCCTTCCTATCATCTGGAGTTTTTTGTATTAAGAAGTCAGCTCTTTCGAAAGGCTTCAAGAACAAGCAGACAAACAGCATATTCATTTACAAGCTGGAAGTTGATTATTAAGTACAAAACCCATGAATGCTTGTCGGGACCAAGGAAGGGAGGCTGAAACCAATGATTGTGAGGATGCCCAAAAACTCTCTGCAGTCAGCTAGCAGATACCTCTATGACAACAGTAAAACAAACCCACACAACTAAACAGACAAACAAAATCACATTTGAGTTGTTTTTATTCTGCTTCATCTGAAATTATTTTTACCAAGACAGCCTGTTGTCCTTAAGGCTGTGTTTTCCCTTGCTCAGTGTAACTGGAGCTATCATTGCAGAGCCAAATCATTCAAAAAATAAGCCCATAACACAAATATATCTTCACTCACAGACCCCCTGCAGCCCATAACTCCACGTTAATTAGAGTGGAAGATGAAGCCTTCAGCCTAAAACCCAGCAACTGTGATTTACACAAGTGCAGAGAGGTTTTACTGCAAATTTTCCTGCGAGCTGCACAGGCGTCTCCTGCCCAGCTCCACACACCATCAAAACAAAAGCAGATCTCAAATCACTGACAGCTGCCATACTTTACAGAGACATAAAGAAAAATGGAGCAGGCATTGTGTACAACACAGGCAGCTCGGGAGAGCTGAACGCCGAGAACACTGCAAGGACACAGAAATCAGCAGAGATGCTGCCTGGCTTGCATCTACCCAAAACCTACAGTACAAGGACAATTTTGGAAGACTAAAACCATAAAAGCCAACTTGCCACTTTGATGCCTCCTAAGAATAATTACCAACTTTCTCCTCATTACTTCCGGAGGACACATGATTTTACAAAGATCATTTCGCCCTAACACATGAAGCTGTGGAGCAGGGCTTGGCTTGGCAGTCATGCAAAATAGATTCCCTGCATCCCACAGAAATACAAGCATAAGGCAGTAACATCAGGAACTCCAGGCATATAATGATCACTGTGCAATCAAGTCAGAAGGACTTCTGCGCAGATTTGAGGATCTGCTGCAAATTTATGTTTTACGACAGGCAACAGCTGATCCCTTTCCCCAACAGCATGGGACATGGGAATGGTTTTATCCAGACTTACACTGAAAAGCTTGAATTTGAAAAAGCATTTCTTGGGGGAAAGAAGAGCTCAGTCCCAGTTTGAGTACAGCTCTTTGAGAGCCTTCTCTCCCTCAGAGCAGAAATTGTCACAGCAGGTTTCTCCACCTTTACGGTGCAGTTACAGCAGGAAGTCTCCAAGGAGGAAAAGATTTAGACGACTAAGAGTTTTAAGTGGTTTTGAACAAGCGAAGCCTTTTAGAGTGGCAGCTGAACTGATAGTTACACAATGACATTTCAAGCTTTCAAGTCCCAATCATTCTTAATGGCACAAAGCTAAAACCCAGAAGGGGACAAAGCTATTACACAGCCGAAAGTACGTGCAGCTAAACTGTGCTTCCAAACGTCTAATTTGGGTGATCCAGCCTTCCTGACTCACACCCTGCACAGACAGGTTGGCTGTTAAATGTACTACTACACCAGTGGGACAAGAAAGGAACGCAGCCATGTGTTGCAACATCCTCAGGCCACATATCCGGCGGGCATCCTCTGCCTCTCAGGAAGAGTTATCCGCTTCTCTCTTCCCAAAGGAGCATCGCTGCACTGACATAATCCGCAAGCTCCACCTGGTACTCTCGGCGAGCCCTCGCCCTGAGCTCTGCGGGGACGCGGAGTAACAGGTGATGTTTGCTTCCCACACCTTCCGAGGCAGGGGAACAGAAATGCCACGGAGGCACACCCTTGGGAGACGGGATTGCCGTTCTTTTCTGTGCACGGGTGGGACGAGCTCCCCTGCCTCGCTCCTTGGCGCAAGGAGCAGAGACCTTGCTTTATTCCCTTACCGCGCTCAGCCAGAAAAAGGCAAGGAGACCCTCCCGTCCCCGCACATTGCCAAGAAAGTACTGGCGCTCCCCCTCCAACACAGGATACATAAACCAGCTCCTTCCCGGGGACCACAGCAGCCCACCCCGGCTCCCCTCCCTTGCCCCCTCCTCGTATGGGGGCGGCTGCCGCTCCTCGCTGCCCTCTGCGATGGGAGGGGTCGCGCCCAGCCCCGCGCCACAGCGGCTCCTTCGGGGACCCCGACCCCTGGGGAGCCCCCGACCCTCGCCCGGGGGCTCCCACAGGAACCCCCTATCCTCACCCAGCGGCTCCATCGGGAGACCCCTATCCTCACCCAGCGGCTCCCACAGGAACCTTCCCGACCCTCGCCCAGCGGTTCTCACAGGAAGCCCCCTGATCCTCGCACAGCGGTTCCCACAGGAACCCCCCCGATCCTCGCCCAGCGGCTCCCACCGGAGCCCCCCGACGCTCGCCCGGCGGTTCCCTCGGGAGTCGCCACTCACCGGCGCCTCGCCGGCCGCTGCCCCCGCGGCGGCCGCCCTGTCCCCGCCGGCCGCGCCGCCGCCCTCCAGCTGCCGCTCGCGGTACAAGGACCAGAGCCCCACGTTGGGCAAGAAGACGAGGGCGGCCAGCGCCAGCCCCACCGCCTGCAGCAGCCGCTTCTGCTTCCGCCGCATCGGAGCGGCTGGCGGGAGCGGGCCGAGCGGCGGGATGGGGCTGAGGAGCCGGGCGGTGAGCAGGGAGCGCGGTCCGGCCGCCCCCGCCGCGCTCCCGGAGCGCAACTTTCGCCCGCGCTCGGCGGCGCCGGGCGGCAACTCCGGCACTTCCGCTCCGCTCGCGCGGGGGGCGGGGCCGCCGAGACCCCGCCCACCGCCCCGGGAGGCCCCGCCCCGCTCCCCGCTCATTACCCCGCGCTAATGACCCTCCGCTAATGACTCCCCGCTAATGACTGCCCGCTAATGACTCTCTAAGAACGGCGCTCCGAGGATGCGGCGGCACGGCGGGGTGTCTGGGCGGAGCGGGATTCGAACCGGCCGGCGGTGTGGGGGGGGAGTCACGGTGGTTAATTGGCTTAAAACGCCTTAATTAGGGAGGGGGCCCTGAGGTGGGAGCGGGGACTGGGAGAAGCAGAGCGGTCCGAAGGGTGAGGGCTGCAAATGCTCCCCAAAGGGCTGGAGTTCGCCCCAGGGGCTCGGAATAACCGGGGCACAACAAGCCAGTCCAGGGATGGAGATCCATCCCTGGTTCTCATTAAAAAACAACGCTGTTTAGCCGGATAGCAATTAAGCGGCTTTAATAATGAAAACTACATAATTCAGAGGTACGGGATAGCGTTTGAAGGGTGTTTTTAGGGTAGCTGGATAGCAATTAAGCGGCTTTAATAATGAAAACTACATAATTCAGAGGCACGGGATAGCGTTTGGAGGGTGCTTTTAGGGAAAAAAAGGAATGGCGGCAGAGCTTTCCCAGGAATAGGGAGCGGATCCGTTTCCTCCGTTTCCCGGCGCTCGGGAGGATGCTCTGCCAGCACAGCAGCCGCGAGGCTCGGCTGTGTCAACAGCAGGGCTGTGACAATCCGGTGCCCTGCTGGGCACTGGGAAAATAAATATTAGTTGTCTTCCAATGTAAAAGCCGCAGGGAAATACCGGATTTCCTGGAGCAAGAACAAAAAAAATCTAGGGAAACCATTATGCACCCCAGCAATTGCGGCTCTTGTCACCCTCGCCCCACATCAGCAAGTGGATTTAAACTTAAATAAACTTCCATAACCCACTAGATGGCATCTTCTGGCAGATTTCAGTGCCTGCTGCGAGAGGCAAATTATCAAGGAAAGCATTTAATTTAGAGAGCAGGTTAGAGTTCCTGAGTCTAACTACACGTTAAGGCAGCTTGCGCTTTCATTTTAATTATCGATGAGAATTTGTCGCCAGCTGATTTCTTTAGCAGAAGTGTTAACGCTTCCATTGTTTCTCCGTGGGAGGAGAAGATAGCGACCCGTGAAATCCCTTTTCTCCTGCCTTTAGAGCAAAGCGTATTCCCTTTATCATCGCTGAATCACCTCCGGCAGCGCCGAGACTCGGGCTGCTCCTGAATAATGCATGGCCGCTAAAATTGTACAACAATAAAGCTACGTATGCTTTACCTGGCGCTGTGAGAATCCGGGCTGGAGAGCTACAACACCCCTGATTTAATGCTGCAGTGCCCGTGTACTGCCATATGGACCCTCATAACAGCATCCACATCCCCTTACCTCGGCAAGAGCTCTCTGAAAAGTGGCTGTGAAATAGCAGGAGGTTTCCTAGGGATGCACACGGGCTGCCCTTGGCAGAACATCCTCATTTCTATAAGGAAATGACAGCCACAAAGTTTGAGAGTTAATTAAAACAAAGCCACTAGCTGGCTTGACATATGTTTGAATTTAGGATTGTGAGCCTGCTCGCTAAATTAAATGTTTGCTTCATAAATTGGCTTCAGCAGAGTTGCACAAGTTCTAACTGGGAGCAGATTATGGCTGGTGCTGCAGGTATTTTAGGTAGATTAGTATTTTGTATATGTGAGAGCATCCTGAATGATCAAACCCTCTGAAGAGCCTCGTAGAAATTGAAGTCTGGCTGCTCCTCAGTGATCACTCTGGAAATGGCTGTTCCAGGTCTTCTCTCTCTGCTTTAAGAGGGAGTGAGTCCTGTTGGGCTTACCAATTAAAGTAATTTATACTCCATGCAGCTGCCTTGGTCCCAAATAAATAGATGTTTCTTCTAGTAAAGGTAGAGCATGTCTCCCTCCCCTCTTTCTCCTGAAGTGTTTTGGTGGAGTCAGAGCTCTGATTTTGGCCTGTTGGATGCAATGCCTTGGGGATTGATCGAGTACATGCAAAATAAACATGGATTTACATTTCTGAGAAAGGAAAAAGCCTGTGGCTGCTAAGCCTCTAACTGGAAAGGGAAATGGTGTACCTTCCCCAGGCATCTTTTCAAAACAAATATAGGATAAATTAATAGCATCTCAATCCCTGTCTGGAAGCTCTCTTTGCTAGCGAGCTGGGCTGCCTGGTTTGCAGCTCGTGTGCTGAGCTGCTGCAGGGCAGAGTGCAGCAAAAGTGGGTAACAGCATCATCAAAATTAAAAGCCTTGATGAAGGATGAGGAGCAGGGTTGACCAGAGGGACTTGATCAGCAGATGCTGGGAAAGGGCAGGAGAGCACTGAAAAATGCAAATGGGAGTGGATGTGACAGGAGCTCCTGGGATAGAGCCCACAGATGGCATGACAGCATGGAGACGAGATGGCACAGGCTGAGGGAATCAGTGTTCCCTGCCTTCTGTCTCCAACTGCAGCTCCTCGGGGCAGGGACTGACTCTTGTGAAGGGCTGCATTCCGACCTTGGAGCTTCTGCAGGGGTGGCTAAAGGAAGGCAGGGAGTCCTTTGGATGCCTCTAAGTGAGGTGAATGGTTATGGGATCCCCCCTCTGCTGCTAAGTGGTCATAAGTGAGACAAGAGCTGGCTTTCCATGCTCCCACTGCTGTGCCAGCCTCACAGCATGGGTTAAGGGGAGAAAACACTGCCAGAGGCATGGCATATCTGCCAGGGGAAAATGGGGGAAATACCACCCAAGAGCCTGTTAGGTTTTTCCCTTGGGTTCCCAGATGCTGCCACTGTGGGGTTGGAGTCTGGGAGCTCCCACCCAGGTCTCTGTGTCCACACTGTGTCCTGTGTCAGATGGCTGCACCCACAGGGAAAAACAGCTCCTTTTTTTGATATGTGTTTGTATGCTGGTGATGCTTTCTCTTTTCTGAAAATCTCATTTTTAGCCAGGAGGAGAAAAGGAAAAACAATCTCTAAAAAATGAATGAACCTCAGCCATGGCTGTGTCACAACAGGACTTTTGTTTTCGTGGCATTTCTTTATCCTTCAGTGTTTATTAGTTGAAGTTCAGCTCATATTTCATGTGAACAGAATTGATTTGTTGGGGTTTTTTACCCCCTTTTTTCTTTCCTGATAAAAGACAATGCTGAGGAACCTGCTCACCTGTGGGCAGGAGCACAGCCCTCCTCTGCTCAGTATGGGGGTGCCTGTCAGCACAGCCCCCCACAGCAATCCTGCTGCACTCCCCCAAACCCTGGAGCTGCTTCCAGCCAGCACTCAAGATGCTGAAAAACAATGTAAATGCCTGAATAGCTCACAGAAGTGAGATGATTACAGGCTTTTAAAAAGAAATTGCAAACCTTGTCACTGCGGGAGAGCATCCAACCCTCTCCCCATCCCTCCCAAGAAATGAAGAGGCAGCACCAACATCCATGAATCCTTGTGCCCTGGCTGGGAGTTACCTGTGGCATGACTGACCTGGGGTTTTATCCACATAGAACAGACTTTTAGCAGAAAAATAAATAAAATAAAAATGGTGATCCACTTGAGCAAGCAAAATCCCCACGGTCAACAGGGAAATCTGCCTGAATTTACTTTGGACAAACAGAGCCCAGCAGTGCAGGGCAGGAGAGGGTGGCTGAAGCTGGATGCTGGTGGAGGATGCTCAGGGTCCTGTATGGAAAGTGGTGCCATCACCAGTGGTCACTCCTCCAGCCTGGTGCAAAATGGAAGAAGTGACTGGGTCCGTCTGCAGCCTGGAGATGTACAAAAGCAATGGAGCTGTGGAAAGAATTTTCCAAAGTGTAACATTTTTGACTCCTCTGGCCTTAAATCAGGTAATTTCACTGATTGCCTGTGGCAGGGGAAATTGCTGATGTGTAAGTTGAAGCACAGTCCTGGAAGATGAGGCAGTGATGGCTTGCTGGGAGGATAAATACCAGAGCAGAGTGTGAAGCAAGGAGGGAGCCTCACGCATGCCACATTGCAAACAGATGCACCTACACATCCAGAGATTTCCTTTGCACAGGAATATATTTTTCCTCGGGAGCAACATGATTCCACGCCCCTCTTGGCCAGGCTGCCCAACCTTCAGGAACATTAGTGGCCAAGAGAAAAAGTTCTTGCTGCACTCTGTAAGGTCTGAATGGTCCCAGCTCTCCCTGCTGGACTTTGGTGGTCATTGAGGACACCACTTCTCCAGGCAAAGCTTTGCATGTCAGGCTGCTTCAGTCCTAGAACTGCTTTTCCAAAGCAGCCCTGACAGTTTGTGCATAATTATCAGTGGGGCTCAGTGTAGGAACGAGGAGACAGAGCGTCTATTCCTGGCTGTCTACTCAAGTAACCTTATTTTAAAGAAAAAACGCAAACCACAAATGTTGTTGCAGTCTCTCTGGCTGGAATAGGCAATGAGCCTTGTCTGCTCCCTCTGCTCTGAATTCAGAGCTGCTACAATGAATCGGACTCATTCCAAAGCCAGTGGAGCCAGGCAGACAGACTGCAGTCAAGATGTCCCCAAAACTCCCTGGATCCCTGGCTCCTCTGAGCAGGCTGTGGATTTTGAGGCCAACACTCCCTGTGCTTCTCAAGGGATTTGGAAGCTCACGCTCTAATAATTAAGGCAGCTTTGAACGTCGTAGCCTTCAGCCTTGCTTTTCTGTTCCCTGAAGCAGCCATTAGTGCTTGGAACAGGTACCAGCTCTTAAAATGGGCACGCCAAGGGCTTGCATGGTTTTGACAAGGAGGAATTTAAAGACACTCTCCAATGCATATGTGAGAGCAACAAAGAGCTGGTTTCAATGGAGGTTTGCAGCTTTGCTGCGAGCAGGATTCATTTCTACATCACTGAGCTGAGCCTGGAGGATAGGTCTGCTCTTCTTCCAGCTTGGCTGGATGCATTCTGGGGTGAGAGGAACATCACTGGGGTCCAAAGTCTTCTTTA